CTCACCACTATATTTTTTTTTTTATGATAAATCAATATAATAATTTAGTTTGACTATACTTTTAAATAAAATATTTATTCTCAAATTCATCACTTTAGTCTAATTTTTATATTATTTTAGAGATAATTTAGAACTATATATATATATTTTTCTGATAAATACATTTTGGATATTTAGAGTTAAAGACTTTTAAAAAAAGGGAAATTGGGAGTCAAAGTTAGAATTACAATTTTGTGAGTTATAATTTAAAAATAAATTAACACTTTTTTTTTTTTTAAGGTAAAAAAAAATGGAAAAATGGAATCCCGTAGCTGTCGCAATTTGACATCGAGTGTGTACATCAATAAAAAAAATATAGAAGACAGATTCAGTGTGTATATATAAGCGTTCTCCGCGTTTGAAGATGGTGGTCAGAATTCAGGAATAAGTTTTTGGCGGGCGGGTTGGTATTTGGAAACAGACATGGCGGTGAAGATGAAGGACACCTTCTACGTATCCCATGGATCCCCAACGCTATCCATTGACGAGTCGATGCCGGCCAGGCACTTCCTTCAGTCATGGAAGAACACAGTCTTATCTCAATCACCCACTTCCATCCTCGTCATCTCCGGTCACTGGGAGACCAAATACCCTACCGTCAGCGTCGTCCAACGCAATCAAACCATCCACGATTTCTATGGTTTCCCCGATCGCATGTACAAGGTTCCTTCCTGCTCCCTTCGTTTTTTCAATTCCAGGTTTATCTCGCTGTTTAACGATTTGTTGTTAACTCAATTGAATCCATACAAGAAATGATGCGTGGAAAAATATGATTCCGATGCGTTTATGTTTCGTTGGTTATATAGTAAATGTATGTATGTATGTATTGAGATCAGTTGCCCACAATAAATGTTTTTGAGGTTCAATTGTTTATAATATGTTGGATCTTGCACGTTGATACAAAAATTTGAGAGGACTTTCTGTTTTCTCTTGAAATTTACCTGATAAGTGTCTGTTTGTTTATCTTTGTGACCAATTGGCTTGTTAATTGAAGCTCAGATCTTGGTTCCAAATGAATAAGAAAA